TTGCCCACCAACCTCCCCCCTCCTCGTGTGCCGCGCCGGCCTTCGTAGGTGCTCGCTAACAGCACTTGCCCTCAACAGTCTGTGCAGGCTGTACGGGGGATCTTTGTCTTTGTAGGGGTGGCGCTGCCTCTATGAAAACCGCCGGCCAGAGTTAGATTCCCGCTCAGGGCCACCAACAGCAGTGACGAATCATCTGAACCGGTCCTGGCCCTTGCCTAGGTCGACTCAGCTTCAAATCAGTACCCGGTGCAATGCGTAAAGCATCGCCAATGGGGAGACAAAGGCGGCTGGGCGTGGTGCTGACCCCACCGCCCCATCGTGTAGCGGGCTGGCCTTCGTCATAGGCGATGCTCGCTGACAGCAGCACTTGCCCCATCAGTCTGTAGAGGCTGTACGGGAGACCTTTGTCTTTCGGTGCTGGGGGTGGTGCTGGCGGCGGTATAGCGGGCTTCGTGTTTGTTATCACTGCAGTGACTTGACGTGTCGGACAAACTTTCCGATGACTTTGTTTTAAACTGGATACGCCGAAATTCTGCGGCAGTGCGTCAGCCGTAAACACACGTTTTGTGTGTTCGCTCCGTGTGCCCTAGATTTATTCTCCCGCTTTTTTCACTAAATATAGTCATGATGGTGGTGGGGGTGGAGGTCTCAGCCAATTGCCGTTGACGAGAGGTTTACAATGCGCGAGTTTTCTTTCAAGCTGGGACACAACCGGCCTTTGCCAATTCTATCCCGTTCGTGCGTGTGATTGCAGCGTGGTTGAGCAGCTAAATGCCCAGTGTCGAGGTCTGCTGGCCACGAAGAGAGGGCTTCAGGGGAAGAGAGATTTCGTGTCGTGTTCCTCTTCGGGTGAAGGAGCGCAGACCACAATGCATTGTGGGGATTGTTGCGTGGCCTCACAATCGCACTGTGGGGCTTGTCTTTAATGTACCGCAACTCTCTATGGGCCGATGTAACTCTATGTGTCTATCGGTCTCTATGAGTCTCTCTGGAATTGTATGGGTCTCAGTGTACCCTTTGCGTCCGTGTGTATCTCTATGTGTCGCCACGTATCTCTATGGGGTTGTTATACGGGCCATAGTTTGGGTGTCCCTGTGGCGTGTGTCTTTATTTTTTTTAATGTTTGCTAAGGGGATGTACGCATCGGGCCGGTGATGTTCTGATGCGGATGATGTTTCCACCACCAGTGTCTTCGAGGAGGAGGAGGAGTGTCAAGGCCAGGAGGTGCGATAATGTGTGGGGTCTTGAATGAGGTGCTTCTCTGCTTCGTATATAGGGGGTGCCTTACCTGGCTAACAAGCGCCATGACCTCGCCAACTTTGGCCTGTGCTCAGGCGAAGATGGCGGTGTACAGAACGAGGAAAAATATGCTGGAAGGTGACATTGACGGCTGATCTGTGCTTCCAGTGTTCAGGGGCCCGCTCAAGGCGCGGCTCCGGCTGGAGCACGCCATGTACCACACACATGTCGGTGATGTGCACGTCTTTTTCGAACGCTGGGGAGCCGGAAAAGCCCTCTGTGTCAGCGTGAACGGCACCCTCGTGTTCACCTTCTGAAGCGCTCGCTCGTCACCGTGGCGTGCACGATGACCACCACCACCACGTGACTTTTTGTTCGTGTTGTGCGCGGTGCATTTAGCGCCACAGCGCGTGGATTTATAGCGTTTGTTTATTTGTTTGCTGGTGACTGTGTTATTAGTATCGGAATCGCCTCCAGTGCTGTTGCTGCTGGCGGCAATAAAAGTAGTTTAAAAGTCAAAAGTGTCTGCAATAGCATGGTGCAGTTGGGACGTTGATTGCTTATTTTGAATTACTATAAAAATACAATTGGTTTTCATTGCGTGATTATATATTTTCTATAAAATTGGTGGTGGTGGAGTGGTGGGACAGTGGTTGGCATGCTCCGTCGAGCTCAGTGCGATTGCCAGCCATGGCCAACATCAGCGGCGAGTGACAACATGCACCGACCTGAGCGGTGAAGTATGGTCAAACAACACACAAGTCTGACACGCTGTGCGACGACCTTCGCCCAGAAGCGGATTGACAAAGGGCGAGACGGTATTCTGTATTTGATCATTGTGATCTTATTTTTTATTATTATTCACGAATCCATAAACCACTGCATTTCAAGCACATTTCCATTAACTGACAAACAGCCTCCAAAGAATGGGCTATGGGATATCAGTTAGCTTTGTTATTAATACAAAAGTTGCGCGAGAGATAAAAAGAAATAATCTGGAAGGGCTTTTTTTTCATGGCTTCACCAAAAAAGACAATTTCTTTCGAACAATGCCAAAGAAATCAACGGGCGCTCGCCAACCGATAGCGAGCACGAATCATTCCTTCAAGTCATGCGGTTTGGTCTTTTTTTTCTGTCGTTAAAGGAACACACAGTGACTTCATAACATTACAGCGTCATGTTAGACAGCTAAAGTTGCATTATTTTGTACGTATATATATATTTTTTACTGCTTCTTTTTGGACCACGTGAATCACATTTTCATCGCTGGCTCTAAACTTGCCAAAATCGTTGGCACGGCAGTTTAGATTTAAAAAAAAAAATTCACAAAGCTGCTCAAGAACTTTTTTTTGGTATTTCTCTTAATGCCCCGAGTCGGACAGCTAAAGGTAATTGCAGTTAATGAGCCCTTTGCAAATGACCGGCACGGTCAAAATGAGTGGTGGTGAGGTCAGCTCCGAAAGCTCAAAAACCATTGTTCCCACCAGCACTGGCGTATAAACATTATCACGTTTAATGGCTCCACATGTGCGCTTCACACCAATATAATGGCACTAAAATCCACGGCTCGGACATTAAGTTACAAAAAAACTCTACGCTTAGGAGACACATGCCCGGGGGGGTGGGGGAGGCTTAATTTGTTTTGAACCGTAATATTTTCTGGCTTTCACTCTGGACAGATTGGAAGCAGGCGACATGTGAACTCGTAACCACCGCGAAAATAAGCGAGCGAGGGGGGTATACTGGACGTGGTGTTCCGGCTGTGATAAAAAAAGGAAACAAAAAAATCCACGAACAGACCTCACTGCGAATTAAGTCGTCCATATGCTGCAATCTCAAACTGCCATTGGACTGCTCCACGCGCAGAAAACACAAACAGACCAAAGGTCTTCCCTCCCTCCCCCCCCCCATATCCTATGCTGTCTGTTGGGACAGTCAGTGAGCACCTATGGATGCTGACGAAACATTACAAAAACATCACGCGCCCACAAAGATAAAGTTGTCCCCTCCTCCTTCCCCCCGTAGCCTTAACAGACTTTTGGGACAAGTGCCGTTAGCGAACGTCTATGAAGGCCGGCACGATACACGAGGATGTGTGTGGTCACCACCAGGCTCGACCACCTTTGTCTCACCAGTGGTGATGTTTGCACACCGCTACAGACATTCATTCGAGGCTCAGTCGACCTCGAGGAGGCCCATGACCGGTTCAGAGAATCGTCCCCGGTGTTGGTCGTGAGCGGCAATCGAACTCGGCTCGACGGGTTCGTAGCGCAGCGCGCTAACCGCTACTCTACTGCATCCCACCCACCCACACACAGACAGACAGACACACAGACACACACACACACTGACATACACACGGTAATGGCAGAACGACTCGGGCAAGTTCAGATTCCATCACAGCTCGAATGAGACGACCGGCAAACCGTAATGATTAAAACGCACGGCTAACATAGACCTAATTGTACTTTTGTTTACAAACGTTCCTACCCCTATTTGATTTTAATAAAAATGTGGAACTTGGTGAAAAGTTGCCGTTCGTGTAACGTGGGCGCAGCGTTAAGAGTTTTGAGGCCAGAACACAAAGAAAAATCACCACCCCCCCCCCCTTCGGAGTTCAAGACGCGTTTTTGCGGTGCACACGTGACTTCGATCCCCCGGACAATTGGCACACGTGTTGCACACACGTGTTGCACACATGCGTTGCACACGTGAGGCTCGTGTCCGAACGCGGTGGGTTGAATGGCTCAGCCATCACACGACATCGCTAAAATATTCCACGATCCGGCCATTTCCCAAATGCGAAACCACCACCCTCCCCGGCACGGCCATGAAATATTCCGCGCCCCTCCACCCCCATCCCCACACCGTGGGTTTTCGTTGAAGAATTGGCTTCATTTGTAATTCAATCAATTTATCTGCATACCCCCTTGAGATGTAACATCGCGTTTTGCAACGGTGTGTGTGTGTGTGTCCACCTTGTCAGAAAACGCACGAGGGCTACAATTATGTATTTTGTTTAAAACCCGCAGTATACAAACAAACACACACACGATACAAGATACGACGATTACGGGAACGTTGAATACATTCGTACAGTGTTCGAGAACAGGAAATGTATTTGGTCGGGCTGCTTAGAAGAAGAGGAATTCAAAAAAAAATCCACACCCCCCACCCAACCCCACCACCACCACCTCCTCATCCTCCTCCTCCTGCACAATCGTGCGTATTAAAGCAATCAACGTCGTCTGCGGACGCTTCGCCGTTGTTGATTACGACAAAGTCGCTCAGCGGCCTCTGCCCTTCGAAGCATCAACGGCGACCGGGCAAGTCAACAAGCATCGCTGCCTTGCAGCGGTGCGCCTACCCGCCCGCCCCGTACAGCCTCGCCTATTAGTTTTATGTTTTCCCCAGCTGTCCTGCCCACAGCCCAATGGGAGATGCATTGATTTGGATTGGCTCCAGCTGTATCTGGTTTCTTTCCCAAACTGCGTAATCTGCACTGCCATCCCCAGTGACTTCCAAGTTAGTTTCGATAGCCCCCCCCTCTCACCTTACCCCCCCCCCCCATCCTACACCGGTCCCGCCTCCCCCCCCACCAACACTCGCCCCCCCCCCCCACCAGCACCAACCACCCCCTCGTCTCCAATCCCATACCTCCAAATGAAATCCCAAAACAGCAAACCTCCCCCCTCCCACCCCTCCCTCCTCTCCTCTCCCCCCAACTTTCTCCCTCCAACCTCCAGTCTCCACCAGCGACCCACGCGCTTGGCACTCAAAATCAATGCTTCCCATTAGCCGGAGCTGTTTCTCATGCAGCAGCAAGAGCAGCAGCAGCAGCAGCAGCATCATCAGCAGCAAATTCCTTGCCGGCAAAGCCGGTGGTCGTGGTGGTGCAGGACGCCGGCCGCGCGTGGCTGCGGCCGAAGGGGGCTGCGTGTTGGCACGGCACGAGCCAGAGGAGAGAGAGTTGGGGGTTGGGGGACACGGGCTCCAGAGCGTTTGACAACGACGGCGAAGTAGAAGAAGTCAATTCATTGACGTAACGCAAGACCAGGCGTCATCGGAGGAGGAGGAAGGAGGACGTGGAGGAGGTTCGAGCGAGCCACTGGCCAGAGATGTTGGTGCAGCGACGCGCGTGCGACATGGATACCGTTGAGAACGTGCGCGTGTAACTTCTTAAATCATCATGACAGCTTCGTAAATAAACAGGGGGGGGGGGGGGGGGGCCACTTCTGGAAATTCGCTCGGCCCCGGGGGGGGCGAGAGGCTCCATTACTTGAGCGCGACCGTGACGCAGCGAGGACCTCAGACGCTCGCGCGCCGAGCTCGGGCAGAGGCAGACACAGAGAGAGAGGTAGAGAGAGAGGATTTGAGAAAGTGGAATATTCCCACCATGGAAGTGAGCTTCAAGATGCCGGCTGCGGACATCGCCGCGCTGGGGAACAACAACCCTCGCATCCAGACCCACGTGTTGGGGGCCTACAGCGAGGGGCCGCTGCACAGCGCCGTGCAGGAGATCAGCATCGACCTGCACGGCTTCAAGAAGGCGGTGGACAAGAAGGTGGAGGAGATGGCCCGTCAGATGGGCCCGCTCATCAAGATGATCAACGACCTCCGGGACGAGAACATGAGGCTGAGGGCCGAGCAGACTCGGCTCGCCGGACGCGTCGAGGTGCTCACCAAGCTGCTCGGGGTCGAGGATCGATCCGTCGCACCGCCCGCCACGGTTGCCTCGGCGGCTCCCTCCGGGGTCACGGCCACCGCCTATGAACGCCCGACGTCGGCGGCCGTAGCCCTCGACGGCGCCGGTTCGCAGAAGTCGGCGTTCAACACCACGCTGAAGATCAAGCTCGTGAGTAGCGCCCGGCGCTGTGCAGGGGTCACGTTAAGGTTGATGGGGGCTCCGAGGCTGTTAGAAGTTTGTTGGGGGACGGCGATTATCTCTTGGATATTCACTTCCTTCACGCTGTTGCGTTCCCACAACCACCACCACCACCACCACAACGACCGTCACCCATTGCACGATGCTTATTGCTTCCCATGGTTATTTCAGTTCTGTGGTTTTTTTTGCAATGCGGTGTTACGCAACTGTGACGCTAAATCAGAGTCGAGACGAGTGAAACTCATTGAAGTCTGGCACTCAAGTGGTAGCAATACACACGGCGATGCTACGGTTGCAACGATCAAATTACCTACACCAGGGGTCGGCAACCAAAATAACAAGAAGAGCCATTTCTTTCCAATTCGGTACAAAATTCAGTATTTCAAGAGCCGCAATGCATCTGAGTACATACTGTACATACGTACATATCGTCAAGAAGCAGCCCGTAAAGAGCCGCATGCGGCTCCGGAGCCGTAGGTTGCCGACCCCTGACCTACACGGTCTATCGCAGTGCCCCAGCAGTTGCGTTTCAACCGCCGTTAAATTGCACGCACATTTCTGGAGGTCCTGTAAAATTCGACGGTCTGGGCTGCAGCCCCCGAAGGGCCCTGCATTTATGCGGCATCAGGTTGCCACGGCGACGTTGGGTGTGTGTGCGTGTGCTGTCGCGTTCGCTTGTAGCGACAGGATATGTTTTGATATGGGGGCAGAGAGAGAGAGAGATAGGGCGAGAGTAAGAAATAGGAGGTGGTTGGAAGTGGTGAGTCAGACTTTGATGTGGTGATAATGAACCTGGACAGAAAGGGGACCAGGAACGCAGAGCTCACCTGAGTGGGGAGCATTCCAGGAATAGGTGACTTGCATAGAGACCCATAGACTTACACAGCGAGACATACACTCACATAGAGACCCACACCCACATAGACTTGCATAGAGACCCATAGACTTAACCTGACTTACACAGAGAGACATGAACTTACATAGAGACACACACTCACATAGACTTGCATAGAGACCCATAGACTTACACCGACTTACACAGAGAGACATGAACTTACATAGAGACTCACACTCACATTGACTTGCATAGAGACCCATAGACTTACACAAAGAGACATGAACTTACATAGAGACGCACACTCACATAGACTTGCATAGAGACCCATAGACTTAAACCGACTTACGCAGAGAGACATGAACTTACACAGAGACCCACACTCACATAGACTTGCATAGAGACCCATAGACTTACACCGACTTACACAGAGAGACATACACTCACACAGAGACCCACACTCACATAGACTTGCATAGAGACCCATAGACTTAAACCGACTTACACAGAGAGACATGAACTTACATAGAGACTCACACTCACATAGACTTGCATAGAGACCCATAGACTTACACCGACTTACACAGAGAGACATACACTTACATAGAGACCCACACCCACATAGACTTGCATAGAGACCCATAGACTTAAACCGACTTACACAGAGAGACATGAACTTACATAGAGACCCACACTCACATAGACTTGCATAGAGATCCATAGACTTACACCGACTTACACAGAGAGACATACACTTACATAGAGACCCACATAGACTTGCATAGAGACCCATAGACTTACACCGACTTACACAGAGAGACATGAACTTACATAGAGACCCACACTCACATAGACTTGCATAGAGACCCATAGACTAACTAAGATTTACATATACACACAGACTTACATTAAGACCCAAAGACCAACAGAGACTTGCATATACTTACATAGAGACCCAGAGATTATCATACGCACAGAGACTTGCATATAGACACGTAGATTTGTAGCAAGATCCTCGGCTTTACGTAGTGACCTGGAGACTACACATGAACATCCATTTAGGTGGTGGACGTGGGAGCATTAGGGTGGAGACTGGGGGGCAAAGTTCAGGTAAGGAGGAGGAGGATGAGGTGGTTTCACGTGGTGAGTGAAACAAGTGATGAAAAACTAAAGCTAAACCTTTCATTTGATTTGCAAGGTAAGGCTCCCACTGAGCTATGTAGCTCTTTTACAGAGGCAACCTGGCCACAAATGATAGCTCAACGAAGTGGCTTATCACGTGGACATGTAGAGCAGCCAAAAGCGCGATGTTGATTCTAAATATGGAAGGAAACACCGGAGGACCCAGAGAAACATCCGCACGACCACGGGGAGAAGAGACTCGCAAACTGCAAATATACAGCAGGAGTCGGGACCGAATCCATGACCTCCTGTACACCAGGCGAGGTAGTTGACATCTCCTAGCACCCTGTGGAGTGGACGTCGAGGTGATGGGCCAGGCCAGGAATGAATGGACAGAGAGGAGGAGGAGGGCAGAGTCCACGCGATTCGGCCGAAAATGCCAGGAAGAGACAGAGAAGAGAGAGAGAGAGTTCGGGATATCCGTAAAATAACTGAGCTGATTGGTGCCTTTATATACAGTATTTTACATTTGTCATGCATTGCAGCAAACAAAAAAATCTTAACTTTTCAGGCCTTTATCATTATACTGATGGGTGAAGGCCATCTAATGCGCTGTTGGTCATGAAGGTTATTTTACCGCAGCTCTGATTATCACGGTTAGCTACGTACGGTGCGAGAGAAGTGCAGTATACGTACATACATCACCGTGCTGGTCAGTGCAGGTTGGTTATGTGAAGGTGGGCCCAGGGCCGGTTCAGGTTTCGCTCATCGCTGTTGTTAACCGTGGCCAGGAACTGAACTTGGGTTGTTGTCTTCATTTGTAATGGAATGATGTCAACAATTACACGTGGTTTTCTACTCAAAACAAACCAGGGGGGGGGGGGCATTGATCATTAAGTGTTTACGGCACTTAGCCAAGCGACTGAAATTCTACATTCTCGTGACAGGGACGATGACATCCAAGTCACAATCCCTCTCTGCAATGTGTAACTGAATCGATTGACCCCTGGAGATGTAAAGGTCCGAGTTGGCACTTAAGCAGGATTGAACTCACAAGATTGTGATGGCGAGTCACGCACTCTAACCACCGCATCGCCCAACCAGATCGTGACGACACCCCGAGCTTAAGATAATTTACTCACCCAGGTGACTCTTTGCTCGTGCGCAACTTCTCTAAGAAGGCCAATGTGAAACAGGCGTTCATGCCGGCTTGTCTGTGCGCCTGTCCGCACTCACAATGTCCCCATTGACAATGGGGGTGGCGGTGGCGAGGAACGGTTTACGCGAAGGTGTGGACTGAAGACTTTGCACAGAGCGCCGTTCACGAAGTGTGAGAGCTGGAGCGCATGAAGCGATCGCCCCTTCGAAAACGAGAACCGCCAACCGAGCATCCGACTCCACGATCCATCTCACAATTTTGTTTCTATCAGGACCCCGTGGAGCTGCAGTCTCCAATTATAAACCCCCAGTCTCTCTGGCCCCCCTCTGTCCCTCAGCTGTGGAGGAGCATTTCCCGAAAACGTGACCAGTCGTTTTTCTTTCTTGGGTTGGTGTTATTGGTGGATGTGTTGGGGGGTTTTTGTTATATTTTTGTGTGATTGTGCACCTCTGCCAATTGAGTATCCCTTAAAAAAAGAAAACTAGTCAAAAATGTTAGGCAGTCGTGCGCAGCAGCGGCGCAGCCACTGTGAGTGCCTTGGGTGTCCGGGGACCACCACAGTGTTTAGATTCGACCAAGAAGCAGACATCCACAAAATCCCGGACCAAAAAAATCTTAGTATTCTTGAGTCTGCGCTTTTCTCGCTTCAACAAGGTGACAGGACGTCCACCAAGGAGATCAAGGAATGCAATTGGCCCACGTGCACGTTCTAGACGGATCGTTACATCGCAGGGCTGCGGGAGATGGAGGCGGCTTGGGGTGGCCTCCACCCAGCAGTGTATGGATCATGGCCGATGACGACGACGACGATGATGATGACGAATCTAAGGCAACCCGCTAGATTTCTCTAACAAGTCACCTCGAGTTAACTTTTAAAAAATCTGGTAACGCTCCTCTTTCAACCCGGAACAACCTGGACTCTTCCTTCTTGTAGTTACTAGCCGTCCTCTCAAACATGGGTCTTTCGAAATTCTGAGTGCAATTAATTCATGTTTTGGCCTCGTCTGATTGCATCTGCATCCCCGTCTCATGATGATAGCATATTGTGGGCATTTTTCAGCACCTCGTCGCGATATGCTTTCGGTTGTTTTTGATATCTTTTTTTAAGATGCCCTAAACAAAGGTTGTGTTTTTGTAACAGAACGTCATCGTTGCTGTGCACGCTGATTCTCTATTGCACCGTACCACTGCCAGTTGTTTGAACACAGAGACTCTTAAAGTATTTGCAGGTTCTCGACTGGAGAGAATAAAGTCTACGGCTGATACCGAGGGGGCAGTGGTGGAAGAGTGCTTAGCACGTTGTGCTATGAACCTGACAATTGTGTACTGTAGTCTCTTATAAATTAGTCGTATGTGGAATGATTAAAGTGTAATTTATTGGAAATTTTACCCATTTTGCTCCGTAACCCAAGTTCGATTTCTGGCCATTGGCCAACATCGTGATTATGTGGTTTACATCACAGGCATCACATTTTTATTTTAGCTTTATAGATATTTCCGCACCACCGATTAGCACGGTTAACTACGTACGGTGCGAAAAAGTTCAAATTTTTCCGTGACGTAGAATACTGTTTCAGAATAGAGTTGGGTAAAATAAATAAACAACGCGAATCAGCCTATTTACACGCTGGATATGTATTGATTGCAGTTATACATCTTGTTAAACATCTTGAATTTTAGAGATAGAGCGGTGGGACGTTGGTTAGTGCACTACACTCTGAACCTGGTGACCTGACCCAAATCGCGGCCCATGGCTCACATTACTGGCGCGTGTGATACCTGAACCGCCAGTTAGATTCTCACCTTCGACCAACCCGCCCTGACTACCGTGCAAAAGAACAATCCGACAAACCT